CATGGTGGTTGATGCATTGGACCAGCAGTAGTAATTATTTGTTATTTTTAATTATTGTCACTTGGTGCTACTCCTCGCTTGAGAGTTTTTTACCCCCTTTTCAACATTGCACTGTCAGTTTCTCTCTCTCTTCCATCTCTCCCACTTGGCCTGCCTTGTTCCTTCTTTCTCTCTTGCCCCGCTGCCTTCATGAAACCTGGCCAACATGTGGGTCCAATGTTTGCTGTGACTGTTCAATATCAAAGTTCTTTTTTTATATAAGAGGAAACCATTTCTATCCATTTAAAGTCCAAAGTACTGTATTGGACAATGTAACTCAAAAATTAATAGTTCACATTTTATAACACTATGCACCAGGAAAGAATTTAGGCCAAGTAGAGAGAAATGGGTGAAAGGATACAAGTTAGAACTATGAGCAAATGAATTGGAGTGAACTTCATATTCACAAGTGTACAGTAGTACATTGATACTGAGATAACAAAGTGTAGAGCTGGATGAATCCAGCAGGCCAAGCAGCATCAGAGGAGCCGGAAGGCTGACGTTTCGGGCCTAGACCCTTCAGAAAAAAAAACATCTGCAGTTACTACTGTCTCAGTACATTGATACTGTCAAGTCTAGATGTATAGAAGCATGAATCAGTTTGGCAGCAGAAAAATTAACTGAAACATTGGAGTCAGTATTCCCAATATTTTGTTACTGAATGCATATATGGATTCTGATGATTGATTGAAACAGTTGAAGGAATTGAGATTGTGGCAGTGGTGAGACAATATTGGGTGTCATCAGTTTACAAATAGGAATGATAGTAGATTGCTCCTTCCTTTTCCCAATGAAACCCGGGTCCCGTCGTATGCCAGTCACTGAAAGTAAGCTTGTAGGTGCAGCAGATGGTGAAGAAGGTAAATCGTATGTTGGCCGTTTACAACCAGAGGATTTGCATAAGACACCTGTTCCCTGTATAAGTGTAGAGGGTATTGGTAAGACTTCACTTAGAGTATTGTATGTAGTTTTGGCCTCCTCAATCTGAGAAGCATGTTTTGCTTTGGCTGTTGAAGGAGTGCAAAGACTTGCTGATTGATTCCTAGGATGGCAAGATTGATGTACAGAGAGAGATTGGACCAGTTAGGATTATATACATTAGAGGAGTGAGTGGGGGAAATCTCATTTACACCTATAAAATTCCAACTGAATAGTCAGGGTAGATATGGGAATGATGTTCTCCAATGAGCGGGAGTCCAGAACCAGGAGTCGCAGCGTAAGGATAAGGAATCGGCCTTTTTAGGACAGTTAAGGGTTTTTTTGGTGAGTCTGTGGAATTCTCTGCCACAGCAAACTGTTGCAGCCAAAACATTGAAGACTTTTTCAAGAAAGACGTAGGTATTGTTTCTGTACGTTTAAAAGGTATGACAGCACATTGCTCACTTTAAAATAAATGGTATGTTGTGTACAACCAATTTACACTGCCTTTTAAGGCACAAAATCCCAGCAGGAAAAGTGATCCAACAGTAGCTAACAGAAATTAAGATTATATTGGTATTAAGGTGGCTGAAAAAAGTAGTAAACCTAAGTACTTGGAGTGCTTTTAGAATTCAAAGGAGGGTCAAGAGAATGATGTAGACAAAACTTTAAATATGAAAATAAACGAGAGAGAAACAAAATCAGACTAATATACAATAAGGAAAAGATTACCAAAGACAAATATGGGCCCATTACAAGGAGGAGAATTTATAATTGGAAATAAGGAAATGGTGGGGAAACTATTGTATTTCACAGGAAAATACGAAAGAACCAGCAGACAAGTGAGATTGGGAAATTGAGAACTTTTTCTTAAAAAATAAAAATCAGTAGCACTGAAGAAATTAATGGGACTGCAAGCTCATGAATTGTCTAGACCTGCTGAACATCAGTGTGTTGGCAGGAGAGACTGTGGCTCATTGGCGGTTACCTTCAGGGCCAACAGAGTTTGGACTGGTTCCTTCAAATTGAGGGGAGTGGTGGCAAATGTGATCCTACTATTAAAGAAAGGAGGGACAGAGGAAGTGGAGAACTATTGACCTGTCACCTTACATCATAGCAATACAGCATGGAAACAAACCCTTCAGTCCACTTTGTCCATGCTGACCAGGTATCCTAAAATAAAGTAGTCCTGTTTGCCTGTGTTTGGCCTATATCCTTCTAAATCTTTCCAATTAGACAGTTATATCAAATGTCTGCTTTTTCAATGTTGTTGTATTGGTACCTGTCTCTACCACTTCCTTTGGCTGTTCGTTCTATACACTCTCAATGCTCTGCATGAAAAATTTGCCCCTCAGGTTCCTTGTAAATCTTTCCCTCTCACCATAAACTTATGCTCTGCAGTTTTGGACTCCCCTACAATTGGAAAAAGGCCCTGGCTGTTCACCCTATCTATGTACCTCAATTTTATAAACCTCTATAAGATCACCCCTCAGCCTCCACTTCAGGGGATAAAAGTCCCATCTTATCCAGCCTCTAATTATAACTCCAACCCTCCATTCCCTGCAACATGCTCGTAAATATATTTTCCCGCACACTTTCAAGTTTAACAACCTCCTTCCTATAGCAGGGCAACTAGAATTATATGCAGTATTCCAAAAGTGGCCTCACCAATGTCTTGTATAGCTGCAACATGACCCCCCAACTTCCACACTCCATTCTCTGACCAATGAATGCAAGCGTCAGTAGTAGGGAAAATTCAAGACAGAGGTAGTTATTTCTAGATATAAAAAATATTGAGTGATAGCTGGTTAATATAGGAAATCGCTGAGAAGGAATTTCACCTGTGGAAGAATCTAATAGCCTATTCCATCTCCTGTATTCTGTGGATCAGTACTTGTGCAAGACATCTTTTGTCTCTTGTGTGGCACTTTTAGATAAGTCCCTTAGTACTTTCCAAACCCATGATCACTACCAACTCCGCTCAAGAGCAGCAGCAGGTTCCAGGGAACAACACCTGCAATTTTCTCCACATTCCATTGTGACATGCAACTATATAGGATAGAGGATTGACTAAACAAAATAAAATAATAGAGCGTGTTGGAAAAATGGATGTTTCAGGATACCACATTCACTATCACTGCAGCTAGATCTTGTAGAATATATTTTATAAACCTAAGTTAGACCATCAGGACTTGATGATTTGCTGGATTTCAGTTCCTAGATTTATCTAGTAGTTTTTCTGATTTATTACTTGTCTTAATTTCCTTACTGGTTTTAGCCCCTAGATTACTTCCCATTGCCGGTATGCAACTTGAGTGCTTTTACTATGAAGGCAAATAACATCATCGTTCAATGTGAAATAGTAAGAACTGCCGATGCTGGAGTTGGAGATAAGTGTGGAGCCCTGAAGAAGGGTCCTGACCCGAAAACATTAGCTTTCCTGCTCCTCTGGTGCTGCTTGGCCTGCTGTGTTCCTCCCAGCTCCACACTGTGTTATCACTGTTCAATGTGTCTGTCTGCCTTTTCCTCACACACTCCAGGATAAGTTTATCTCCTCCATTCCATTTCTAAGACACCACTGTTTACTTTAGCCACTTCCCTTATGCATACCAATAATGGTTCTGACAATCAGTTTTTATATTCCTTTCCAATAAATGCTATTGTTTCCCTTTTTTAAAATCAACTTTTTGGTTGTGCTTTTACTGATTTCTAATGCACCCCTAATCCTCAAGCTTACTAAAATTCTTAACATTGTAAGCCTCTTCCCTTTTAATCTAATGCTGTTCTTAACTGCCCTAGCTAGCCATAGAATGGTCTTCCTTGCTTTTGTTTTTAATGAAATGTATATATGTTGAACAGTTTGAATAATTTGTTTAGATGTTATATATTCAGGTATAACGAGTGGGCAAACGGCAGATGGAATACAGCAAGATTTTTAACTGTTACCTGTGGGACCTGGAGTGTGCCGATTTGATCAAATGTAAAAACATGTTAATAGAAACATAATACAGGGGGTGTACATAGGACTTTGTACTTTATTTACAGCATAGATCACTTAAATAATAATTCAACTTTGCCTTAAATAAAATTTACTGGGAGAGGGCCTTCTCACTCACTCCCTCCACTGACGACTCAGACCTCATGGAGATCACAATAGTACAGTAAACTTCAGTATTTGAGGTATATAATTTTTTTTGCCAGTTCATAAAGTGCCTGTTAAAACAAAGTTTTGCTATGTTATGTGAACTTGTATACTTTGTCAGGAAGAATAGAGGAGGTGAAAACTATTTCAATGGAGAAAGACTGCAGAAAGCTACAGCAAGGAGGTATTTGGGAGTCCTCGTGTATAAAATGCACAAAGCTAGCATAAAAGTTCAGGTAATAGGGAAGGCAAAAGGAATGTTAGCCTTTATTTCAAAGGGAAGCATTAAAACTTGTAGTACAAAGCATTGAGTATAAAAATAGGGAAGTCTTGTGAAAACTAAACAAGCTATTAGTCAGACCACACCTGGAATACAGTTAACAGTTTTGGTCCATTTTATCTCAGGAACGATATACTGACATTGGAGGCAGCCTAAATAAGATTCACCTGGGTTCATCCTGAGTATGAAGTGATCCCCTTAGGAGGAAAGGTGGAATAGGTTGGACCTGGACTCATTGCCGTTTAGAAGAATTATTAAAACGTGCAAAATTCTTAGGGGCCTTGACACAGATGCAGTGAGGCCTTTTCTCCTTGGAGTTTTTAAGACCGGATGACTGGCCTTCAGAGTAAGGAGTTGCTTCGTTGGGACAGATTTGAGGAGGAATTTCTTCTGAGCACTGAATCTGTGGAATTGTTTACTGTAGTGAGCTGTAAAGGTAGCATCTTAAAAATATTCAAGACCAAGATAGAACTTTTCTTTTAAAATCAGGTATGGCGTCTAGGGTTGCTGTGGAAAAGGCAAAGTGCATAATTGAATGGTAGAATAGATTTGACAAGTTGAATGGCCTCCTTCTGCTCCTATGTTTTATGGTCTAAATTGCTGTGTCTTCACTGTCATTAGATCGAAATCCTGGAACTCCTCCTTTGAACAGTACTGTAGGTGTACCTACACCAATGGACTGCAGTGGGTCAAGAGGGCGACTCACCGATGCCTTCTTGAGGACAGATATAGATGGACAATTAAATATTGGACTTACCAGTGAAGCTCACATCTGCTGAATGAATTGGGTGAGGAAAAAATTAATCCCAATTTCTGTACCCCTGTGTCACTGAGAGGGAGTGTGAAAGTTTGAAGATTAGACAGTTTACAAGGTTGGGAAGTTGTAGTTTTTTTTATTTTGAGGCTATTGATGGTAGATTTGAAGGAAAACACCATTTTCTAATATCACCTTATGTGAGCTGGAGGATGGTAAGCAGTTTAGGAAAGGGTGTATTTATAGGTCAGCATGAGTTCAGGAAAAAAGAGATGGGGGAGAAAAGCTAAATGATTAGTTCATGACAAGGGAAGGAGAGGAGCCTTTGGCAATTTGGCCTTATGGGCTCGTGAAAAGGAGGCAAGCAGCAGGGTCAGTTGAATAAATGGTCTTGATTGTAGTGACAAATTCATGCACATTGAAACTCTGCATAACAAGAGGTGCTCTTTCTTCAGCTGAAGCTATGATCTCACAACTGAGGCTGAATGGAGTCATTGTAATTTTCCTCTTTTTCTATGGCTTGTTGAAAGTATCAATGAAATTCTGTTCTCCGCTCCTAATATGTGATGTTTATTAATGCATATGAAAGTTTACTACTTAGCACTAATTTTGCTGAGACTGTTATTATCTCTAAGCCATGCATCCTAATTGCAATTAGTGCAGTATAACTAACACCACTGGTCTGGAAATTCCGAAACACTACTTAGAGAACCTTTTTTGACAGGGCTATACAACACTCGGACTCTCAGCTTGCGGTGCTGCAACTGTGAAATAATGACCATGATGGCCATCGGCATTCTTCTAATGGTAGTGTCTGTACTGAAGATGAGTGGAACATCTGTGGCTGTTTCAGTAGGAGGGCTGTGAGAGACAGAAAGAGGCTAAATAAGTTGGTAGGGAAAGAAAACAATTTCATTAGCACTTTTTGTCATATGTTTTAATGTCTCTGGTACGTATTTAAATCTAATTCTCACATCTCAAATGCCTCGGTACCAAACACAGACTGAAGAGATGGCAGAGCATTGTCCTTTTGCCATGTGTACATGTTCAATCGGAGGGGTGCATATTCTTGCTGAGCGTTTGTAATGTTGGATTAATGAAGATTATGGGTTGATACTAAGATTTGATCATTTTAAGCATGTGTTTACTTTCCTTCCTTTCTCTGAAAAGATGCGTACACAGCCTTATGAGAAAAGGAAAGACCAAGTTGTCAATTGTACTATTGGACCCTCCCTTAGTTGACTTGAGATATCAGTCTACAGTTTCACATTGTGATGGCATGATCCTTCTTATTGTCCAGTCATGCTGCCGTTGGACATGGACTGCTTCATGTCTGAGGAGTCATGACAACTGCAGCCATTCTCCTTTGTGTCTGGTATGACTCTAACCAGTGGAGAATTTTCACCCTGATTCACATTGACACTAGTTTTGCTCAGGCTCCATGATGCCACATTCATTCAAATGCATCCTTGCTGTCTAGGTGCTGTTGTTCTCACCTCAACTCTAGAATTCAGCTCTTGTTTTTTGTCTGTGCTTGAAGTATTGCTGTGAAGAGGCCAGGAGCTGGTAGAATCCAAACAGTATCTGTAGTTTATTGCTAAACGAGTGCAGCAAGCAATTAGGAAGGCAAATTGTACGCTGACTTTCATTGCAAGGTTATTTGAGGAAAGGTGTGGTGCTGAAGTTTTATACAGCCGTGGTGAGACCTCATCTCAAGTGTTCTCCAAAGCTTTTTTGGTTCCCTTATCATGGGAATGAATGGAGGTTCACAAGATTAATCCATGCAATGACAGGAATGTCTGAGTTGGAGGAGATGGGATCTGTTTACCTCTGTGTTTTGTGGATTTGAGTGGTGACCTCATTGAAATTGACAAAATTCCTACAGGTCATGTAGGATAGCTCTAGGATACTAATCCTCCTCTGGCAGAGTCTAGAACCAGGGGCTGCAATCTCTGAATAACAGGTACGATTGAGGCAAGAAACGTCATCACACAGCATGGTGAATCTATGCAATTCTCTATCCCAGAGAGCTGTGGGAATTCAATCACTGAACATGTTCAGAAATGGATAGCTTGATGAAGAATAAAGACATTAAGGGATAAGGAGAGAGTGCAGGAAAGTGGCATTGAGGTGGATAATCAGTTATGATCTAATTGGCTGTGGAGCAGGCTCAATAAGCTGAATGACCTACTCCAGTTTCCATGTAAGCTGATGATGCTCTTCCAGTAAATGCAAAACATTTGTTGTCAGTTTAAGGCTGTGATTCATTCTCTCTTTTTTTTTTTTTTTTTGTTTTTACTGCAATTGTGGAATCAACTGATCATCTATCCATCTATCCATCTATCCATCTATCCATCTATCCATCTATCCATCTATCCATCTATCCATCTATCCATCTATCCATCTATCCATCTATCCATCTATCCATCTATCCA